CTGTATTCTTCTTCTTTATTGTGATATATATCTTTAATCCATTTTTATGCATTTGTGATGTAAAATCGAAATTGGATTTTTAGATCAAATTCGACTCGAATATTTTGGAAAATCTCAAAATTCAAAATATAGAGTTGTATCGATAATATTGAAATATTATCAATAATAAAATATCGAACGGATGGATATCCATAATTGATTCTTTAAAGGCATTCCACGATAACATTATTATAACAAATGAATATAATGAACATTTTAGAATGAATTAGTTTATTGAAAAATATCATCATATGTGTGTTTTCTTTTATATTTGTATTTTATTCTTTTAAAGAAATTAAATTAAATTAAATAAATTATTATAACAAATTCTTCGAATTTATAAATTTAATAATAAATTTAGATTAATTTTTCATATTTCAAAAAATTAAATTTCTTCTTGTAAACTATTTTAATGAATTAGTGAAATCATTCAATCAGAACCAGTAACTTAACCTTCATTCAGCCAAGCTGCTTTCATGCTTGATCAACTGTTCCTGACTGTGTGTAAGTAACAAATTTAGAATTTACAATTCAGATAATATATATCAAAAGTGGTCACTTTATATGATCAGTAAGGGTTATTGTAAGTTTAAAATCTATATATAATTGTTCGTAATCTGAAATTTTCAAATTTTCAAATTACAATATTATCAAAAAGTTTCGAGAAATATTTCGAAATTTCCATATGTCTTATTTGTAATTTTCATACAACTGTATACATTTTTGTCAATAACGATAAAAAACAATCGAAACATTGGCTGTCACTGTATATATAATAATTTGATGCAATTTATTATGTTATTTGTCACGATTCTATATACATTCATGGTACATATTGATTTTCAGAATTCCATATTTGCAATATGAATTTTTACGGCCGAAAACACGTGTGAACGTTGCCTATGACATTTTACATCGCGTAAAAAAAGACCATTTTTCCATTCCGACGATGATTGCCTGTAAGAGGCGTCAAACGATTCACAAACATACGCGTACTTATACATCGGAAACGTTTCTTACCTCTCTTTCGATACGAGAAAGATAGAAGAAGAGAGATGAGAAGGAATGGAGGTTAAATCGTTCGTATTCTATCGATATTATCGTTCCACGATGTGTTTCATGTTATCGTGTCGAATTGAATGTGTGCATTTGTCGTTTAAAGGAGGAAAAATAAAGGAAAATTTCGAAACGTAAATGAAAAAGCAAAGGAAAAAGACACGAAAGATTGTAGATAAAAGAGAATATGATGAATTTATTTGTTCGCTTTTTGTACGAATAACAAGAGGATGAACTCTCGTTTTTTAACGAAATACTTCGATGAAATTAAACCGATATTAAATTGATTAATGTGTCGAAAATATTTTATTAAAATTTTGCTATAATATTTTCAATATATTTTACAACAAATAAATGTTCACAAAAAGAAAATCTAACCTAACCTAATTCAAGCCTATTATAAAAATAATTAATGTTTTAATTTTGTATAATTGTATATTTTAAATGAAATCTATTACATTTATAGGAAAAATTTGTTCATAAAGATTATCTTATTTATTTCAAAGCTTTCTTTTTGAATATTTATCTATTTTATTTTATTTTATTATACAATTTTATTATACAAGATATCAATAATTTATTCGTGATGCATTTTTGAAAAATCGATTTTAAAGGTCAAAATAAATACAAAAGGTAAACTTTTATCGAGTTATAAGCAATTTAAGTTCGCATTAAATGAAGCGAAACGAGAACAGAGTATAACAGTGATGCAACAAAAACAAAGAAGTCTCATTGAAACAAAGATAACGAATAAATATCAAACCAATTCAATAATTTTTAATAATTCGAAATCAAAATTTTCCTTCGAATCAAATTCATTATAAAATAACCATTTTTATCTTTTATTATTTTTAAACAAATTCTGGATAATTCCATATAATTTCTAAAAAAAGTTATCAACGTCGATCAAGCATTTACAATTATTCATCATATATTCTTTATTTCAAAATATTACCGCTTCCAAACTTTTGGACGATAATATACATTTCAAAATTCATCTGTTATGATCAATCTTTTTATATCTTTATATTAATTATATTATTCGCCGACTCGTCTCGATACGATCTTCATATCTTTTTATATTTTAAATAATTTATCGGTCCAGTTCGTTCGTTGGTAAGAAGGGCAAAAAATGGCATTCGAATTCGAATTTTACGGTTTGTTGACGCGATTGCCCACTTTCTTTTACGACGGATCATGGATTATTCGCTCGTAAACGGGCGCCCAGTCGTTTTCAAATTTGGCCGATGCGCGTCGCTAGGATCGAGTTGCTTAATTGCGGACACTGTTTTCAGCTTATTCGCATGCAAATATTCCCAATTTTATGAGGCATTTTTGCCGACAGAGAGTTTCTCTGTCATCGTCGTTCTTTATTTCGCGCAAAGGATGCAATTCTTGATGAAATTATTTCTTCTACCGATGCGTTGGTAACATTAACATTATAAATATTATAAATATCGTATTCATTACCAAAAGAAAAATTAATTTTTTAAAGAGGAAAAAAATGAATTGAAAAGACGATTCTTTGAGATTTTGTCAAATCACGATGGATTATGTCACATTTAAGACATATCATTACATGTAAAGTGTTGTGTAATTGCACAACAGCTAATTTTATTTGTCAAAAAAAGAAAATAAAATTTTTTCATTTCACACTTTATCTAATAAATCAAATTTGAGAATTTTTGTATAAATAAAATTAATAAATACGAATAAATAATTAAGCGAATGATTAATAATCGATTATGTAAAAATGTAAGATAAATTCTTTCATTTAAAAATTATTTTTTGAGAAAATCGAATTTGAAAATATAAATTAATAAAAATTATAATATCCTATATTATTATACATATTATACTTTAATTTCGAATTTACTATAGTCATAATCTACTATAGTTTATACTGAATAAATCTTAAAAATTAACATATATATAATAATTTTGATTAATTTTTTGGATGGGAGATCGGTTAAATAATCCACGTTATTATCGTATGATAAGTATATCCAACTGAGTTTCAATATCAGAGGAAAATATACGAGTTACGTTTCGACCGTTTCACATGGGAATTGGTAGAGTGAAATCTCACTTTCGAGGGTCTTTTTTATGGGTAACCGATCGCAACACTTTATACGATAAACCTTTAAACTACTTCTTTATGGCACTTTTGTCCTCTCGTGGAAAATCAGAATCCCCATTTGTGATATATGTGTTTCAACATTCTTTAATAATGTCTAATCCAGTGATTTCTAACCTCTTTTGAAGTGCAATATTTTGTAATATATAATAATTGTTTAAATAAATTTCCATAATAAGGAAAATAGAAATTAATTTCTTTAACTTATATTTATACTATCTTCATTATTTCGAATCGATAAACCATATTTTCTTATCACTTTTTGAGTTGTAATTCCATTTCATAATATTCAAATAATTTATAGTTTTATAATAAGAAAAATTTTTTAAAAATTAATTACTTTCTAGGATAATTCTATCTTCATTGTTTCGAATAGTTTTAATATTTTTGAGTTTATTATTTCATTGAATCTCTCCGTGACCTCGTTTTATCGTAATATTTATATAGACTGCGAGTTTTCTTTACCAATGTATGGTAAAGAAAGAAAAAACGAAAAAAAATTAATACAATTTCTAATAAATAATTACGTCTAACGACACTGAATTTTTTTGAATTAAATAGAAAGAGAATTTTTATAAATATGATAAAATGTAATTATATCAAAATAAATAAGCGTTAAAGATCACATGGTTAGTGACTATAAAAATAGCAATAGCAATTTCTATGTAGATTGCGATTGATTTTATACCTATGTAAATGTTTCGTTGTAAGCAATAATAAACTCACAGATGTTAATTTACATATTGTATAGAAAAACAAGACATTGTAAATAACGCATCGATCAAACGATTTTTATTTATACGAAAAAAAATATTAAAAATAAAAACAATGGAAAATTACTTGAGATAGCATATGTGTTTGGTTAAAATATTTATTTATTTAAATTGTAAATTTATTTATTAAACTGTTTAGTTTAAATATTTCTCGAATCAATTTTCTTTATATTTTTGCAATATTGATAATGCAATATACACGCTTGTGTACACTACATGATCGATTTTCTTGGAAACAGGAATTTGTACGAGAATTAAAGCGCATAAAGTGGATTAAAATATAAATTGAAAATAGTTCACGTGTTCTTGATCGCAATGACTTCGTTAAAATATTTTAAAATAGTTGGTCACGGTTAATGAACATGTTTCCAAATGGTCCATTAAGTTCGTTCACCAGAGAATTATACCAACGTTGCATTTACTGCTACATAGAGTGTTCAATTTAATTTAGAAACTAAAAATTTAACTTTAAAAACGGAAATTTAAAAATTCTACAAATGATTCCTCAAATGAAAAAATGAAGAATAAAATCTAACTGAAATATAAGAATTAATCGAGATTAATAGAAATAAGAAATTGTAAAAAGAAATATAATTTATTGCATTTATCGCATTTATGATAAAGGATATATAAAAGAAATTAAGTCGGTTCAATTATAAAGATTTTGAGAAGACTTCAAGAAAAGGTTCATTTGCATTTATCTAATCCTTCAACTATTTTGACATTGCATTTCTATATATTAACTTTTTTTTTTGCAAACCTTATTTCATTTGCATTCCTATTGTTCCTATTATTCTTTTTTTTATTATTATCTTTATATCATTCTTGCAAAAGATAACTGTACGAAGGTTTCAAATATAACTTTGTAAATAAATGGATTAATTTCCTTCTTATTTCGAAAAAATATTGTCCCTTACATTAATTATATAGACATCTATAATCGAACATCCCACGTTATGATAAATCATCTCACGACGGTGAATATCTCATTGCAGATTTATTGGTGGGCTTGATATCCGTGCTAACAGATATAATTTGGAAAACGACGGTGTCTTGGCATGCGGGTAACGTTGCTTGCAAGCTGATAAGGTTCATGCAAGCTGTCGTTACGTACAGTTCGACATATGTGCTCGTCGCTTTGTCAATCGACAGATACGACGCCATTACGAGACCTATGAATTTCACTGGCAGATGTAAGTACACTTACCGTACGTAAGTAAGTCACTCTAGTTTAATTGCTTATTTAAGTGCTTACTAAGAGTAAATTAATTATTTACTTACTTACACACTATGAATTTTAATTTATTTTAATTTATTCAGTTCAAATAACAAATTTAAATAAATATTTATATTAAATTTATATAAATATAATTATACGAAATATATAAATGGATTTACCTTTTTTAACATATGCTAATTGTTACTTAGTAATTGGGACAGGGTTCAATTAAAAATAATTTAATTAAAAACACGAGATAATTGATCATCTGAACTTTTGTGTAACATTTACTTAAATATTAATCAAAAACTTGCTCAATTTATAATTATTATATTATCAACGTAATCCTAGTGACTGTTCCATCCAGATTATGGTACTAGCTTTCAACTTTTAATTGGATACAAAATAGATACAACTTGTTATTTTATTATAACTTTCTGCTTTTTCGAACTTTATAATATCTGTATTGATCCATTTTGAGTTTTCTGATTCCTTGCTTAACTCTCATTGTTTTTTTTAATTTTTATCGTAAAGATACATTTAACTTAACAAAACATACTATTCCATTATTTATCCAGATTATTGTTGTTAAATTCAAATCTCAAATTTTGTTATATAAATGAGATTATTGAAATTCCAATTTCTAATCAAAAATCTATGCGAGTAAAAAAATTGTATCATATTACTTTTATGAGGAAAAAATAAATGATAATTTGTGAAATTTAAATAATAAATATTTATCATGTTCATTATCATTCAATAATGCTTAATTATTCAATTATATATCAAAATTCATTAGAGCAGCTACAAAAATGTTATCACAGGATTAATTTAAATAAAAATTTGTTCATTTTTTTTAAGATTCTCCTTTTATTGTTAAATCATATAAACAATCATCTATAAAAAAAATCATCTTTAAAAAGAGAAGGAAAATTGTGATATTTATAAATTAGATAAATATTTATAATTGTTCACCAAATATTATTTTTTTTCTTTCCATTAAGCAGAATAAGTATATCTATATCTATAAAAAATTGTTTTCTTTTTTCTAAAAAAAATATATATATACAAATTTATATTTTTTTTTTCTGTTAAATAAAATAGCAATATTTAATCATCTTTAAGAATATTAAAGAGAATGTTAAAAAAAGACTTAATATAAAACACTTTCTAAAATTGTAATATTTATAAAATAGATATTACATATATTTGTAATGTTCAACAAACATTTTCAAAAAAGTTGTCACAAGATTCATAAATGAAAATTCCTTTAACATCTGTTCTTTCTACTTTTATTGTTAAATTTAAATAATCATCCCCTTAATTAATCCCTTAAAATTAAAAACAGAGAATATTTAAAAAAAATGTCATAATATTTAATAAAATAGATACATTTTTATAATTATCCAGTAAATATTTAAAAAAAAAGAAGTTGTCATAAGATTCCTAAATGAAAGTTTCTTCTTTTAATATCCATTTCTTCGAGATTTTCTTTTCGTTGTATGTAAACATAAACATTCAAGAATTAAAAATAAGGAATATTAAAAAAAAAAAAACTTATTTTACTTCCAAAATTTAAATAAAACAATTGTATATTTACATCTTTCCTATAACATCCATTCGAAATAACATCCGAGTTTCACATTTACCAAGATATCATTCTCAAAGTAGATCAACGAGCATTACAATCTCATCTTTTCTTTATTCCATCAAGCTTTGTTTAATGCACATCGTATATAAGAAATAAGCCAAAAGATGAAAAATCGTGACAGAATAAAAAGACATTGAAAAATTCCATGTTTCCTTAATTAATCAATCTTTTTAATAATATTGATGCAAATTCCTGTTTCTTTGAATAATATTTCTCCACATTGAAATATAGATCCCATATTATTTCAAACAGAATAAAATAGAAACACCAAATCGTTATTAAAATAATGAAATGGAAGTTTCTTTATTGCATCGAAACTTTTGATTATATTCTGATTATATTCCTTTTCTGTTTTTTCTTTAATTTATTTTATCATTCGAATAATAATAATATAAATAAAATTTGAGAATAAAACTCTATTCGAAAATTACTACTTTTTTTTTTTATTATTATAATTTTCACTCTCGATATCTAGAAAATATTTTTCACGAGACATTAATAACTTTCACTCTTAACTGAAGTGTTTACTTAATGAAAAATAATTCTCGACAAATAATTTTCATTTGATTTGTACTTTTTTGGAAAAAGGATATATCATAAAAATATAAAATTTTAGCTTCGAGTATTTATTAATTTCTGAGATATTAATGAAAAATTTTCGATACTGTACAATCAAAAAAAAAAAAATTACAACCAGTTTCAATTTTCAATATTTTTTTTCGTGTTTTTTTAGTAAAATTTGAAGATTTGAACGAAATTGTAAATTTTAATAATTACTTTTCCACAATCAAAAATAATTGCAGTTTATTTAAAAATAATTGTATACCAATATATGATTTAAAGAAAAAAAATCTAGATTTTTATAAAATCATCGAAAGATAAAAGTGCTTTTGAAACAAGTGCTTTTGTTAAAAAATTATCAATTTATACATATATGTATATGTACTAATAATTAATATAAATCATTAAAAATCATATAAAAAATTTTGAAAAATGTTGCAATCTTTTGGAAACTTTTTTATACATTGTATATTCTCTACAACATACACATGTTTAAACTGCGCATAGAAACGTTACTGATCATTAAATGCCGCTTATGTCGCTAATGCAATAGCTTCGTTGCTAAGTCGTCGTAAGATTTATTTATATCGGCCTCGATATCTACAGGGTGCTTTATTTATAAACTTACCAAAAATCAAATCACTCGTTTTCAAAAAATTAACACGATAAGAAAAAAATAACTCACAGATATGACAATTCTTATTACCTGTAGAGATCGTCAATATATAGGTTATTAGAAACCTGACGACAACGACATCTACAACGAAGATATCGATATTTTCAATCACGTTGTCTATATGAATGTCTAATATGAATAGAATTAAAAATTTTTCTCAAAAGCGAATGAACATTTTACACGGGACATCCTATATATTTATTAAAATTAAAATATTAATAAGAAATTTTCAATTCTATTTATATTATAGACAATGTAATTGAAAATATCGATATCTTTATTGTAGATGTCGTTGTCGTCAATATATTTATGTATATACCAATTATTAGAAACTGACGACAACGACATCTACAACGAACATATCGATATTTTCAATCACGTTGTCTATAAAATAGATAAAATTGAAAATTTTTTATTAGTATCCTCGAAAGTAAATACCTGAAATTAAAATTTCTAACTATATATTTATTCAATCTCCCCGTATTATTCGTCAATATCCGGTCGATCGATTTTTCGAAACTTTATTTTAATTTTCGAAGGTTTTATTCTCAAGATGCGTTCGTGTTATGAATTGGACGAGTTCGAAATCGAGGAAATTCGTAAAACTCGACTCTGTTCATTTATACCTCCCTGCCATAATCATAAGGATGACATAACGAATTTCTCCCCAGAATTGCTTTCCCATTGTGGAGAAATCGACTTAACGATGGAAATCCAATTTTAATTACAGGGTGGAGAGCCAGAGCCTTGGTGATCAGTGCCTGGGGATTATCGGCATTGTTTAGCGCGCCGATCATTTTCCTCTACGAAGAGAAGCGTGTGCAGGTATCGATCGATTTGTTGAAAAGAATATTTTGAGATTTTCACAAGATTTTCATTTCCGTTAAACAAGAAAATATATCGTGGAATTTTTTCGAATCGAAGAATCGTTTAATCAAATGAGAAAGATTGTAGAATTTTTCGATAAATTTTTTGAAGATTGAAGATTTCGATCTTAATTAAAACGAAACGATGAAATTTTTAAAATTGATGATCGCTCAATTCGATTCGTTAATTCGACTAAATTTTTACACGAGATTGAAAATTTTAATCAAGTTTAAATCGAGTGATCGAATAATGAAATTATTTACACGTATCTATATACGCGATTATTTTACGAGGAAAAAGGTTACTCGTAAAATTACATTAAACATCTATTAATCGACATGAAATGAAATTATTCCAAGTCAATTTTAATTACGATTCTATTCAACAGAATTGTTTGAAATTTCTTTAAGAGAATCGATCGTTTAATTTTAAATAGAAAATTAATTGCTACGGGATCGTACGAAATGGAATTTTTAATAAAATCAGATCTTCAGAAGATATGTATAGAGAAAAGATACTTTTCTCCCAATAAAATATTGCATTTAATTTCAAGCTTTTAGAATAAGCTTCAAACTTTCGTAGAAAGAATAATTTCTTTCAATAAAATCATTTTAACACTTTGACGTTGGCTATACTGTCTCATCTATACTCTCTCATCTATACAAAATTACATAAAATGTACATAAAAATATATATATAGATATTATAAATAAATTTTGAAAAAATCCATTTAAAAATATTATCCCTTTTGCAACATGAAACGTGTACACGTTAAAATACATATCTCCTCGATCAAATTGCTAACAAATTTGATCGAGAACATTATTCCAACGTGTTCAAAATCTCCCCATTTACGTATAAATTATACGATTGTTGGATTAATTTCGGCACGAGGATAATCGACAGGACGGTTTACCAGGGGAAGACACAATGCTGGATAGACCTGGGCTCGCCGACGCAGTGGAGGATCTACATGAGCTTGGTCAGCTTCACCCTCTTTATAGTTCCCACTCTGATAATAGGGGGCTGTTATGCTGTGATCGTGGCCACTATATGGTCGCAAGGGGGGGCATTACGCCAGGGACCGACTAGGGACACCAGGAGGGTATCGTCTCGAGGACTTATCCCTAGAGCCAAAGTTAAGACGGTCAAAATGACCCTCGTTATAGTGTTCGGTAAGTAAGAAGCATGGACCTGTCGCTGTGACTTTGCGCATTTGTCTTGCGCAGGTCACGTGTGACGTGGAATATATACATAATTGCATAGAATATATCGAATAATGTAATATACGTTTATAGAGGGGATACGATTAACTGTCGCGCTCTCCGCTTTCCACTTATTCGTAAAACATATTTGGAGAGAGGGCAGGGGTAAAATAAATACGAAATTTAATGCTGTAATACGCAAAAATATGCAAAATTATATACGATTTAATTTAAATATTTAGTTCGATTTCTCATTATATTTATTCGTTTACAAATTTTTTATAATACTCACTTTTATGCATAATTATTTACACTTCGCTCCGTTATTTACAAAGTGATATGATATTTGCTCGGAAGCAGGGAGGAACACGACTGTGTCCGGAAACCGATTCCGTTCGATCAATATTTTGAATATTAATGACAATCGATATTATCATGTTCCCGTGGCAATGACGTTTCGTACCGTCTTTGTCAACAGAATAATAATACTTCTGTAGAACACTTGTAGAGAGAATCGATTCTAAAATATGACGATAATTTGAAACAAACATAATATAAAACGAAGGAAAAAAGTATTTTGCATTAAATACATTAAAATACGTAAAGTAAAAAATCTTCAATTCAGATGGTATATTTAAGTAAGTACAAGAAAAAAATGAATTATTAACATTCATAATTGCAAAATTACTATTGACTCAATTTTGTTCTTCTTCCTTAATATTCATTTACTATTGTTTCTCGTTATTCTCCAACGCGAATTCCTGCCAACTCAAAAGATCCTTAAATCGCTGAGTAAATTAGCCGAATATTTTTGGCAAAGTGGATAACCGCACATAACCATACTTGCATAACACACGCACAAGTTTCGAAAGATAGATTTATGCATGGCGAAGAACAATAATCGTAAAACTCTGGACCGCGACGAAACTTCGTCTAATTCTGCTTTAGAATACGATTGAACCAGTTCCATATACGGAATACGATAAAAATCCGTATCAAAGTTAACCGATGTCGTAAACTTGCCAAAATTTTTATTATCGTCATACAACGATAACTTAATTTAAAATCCCTCAATTTTTTTTGGGAGAGAGGAATCCAATCGCTGCACGGCATAAAAATTTAATGAACGAGCGAACTTGTCCAATTGAATCCGCGTTTATCAGGGACGAGGGGGAGAATCGTAAAGATGCCTTTTCCATTTCCTTGCCTCGCCCTTCCCCCTTATATCCACGATTATACGTTTGCGGCGTGTGAAATGGATAGGCTTGGAGGGGACGAACGAAAACGTTCCCTGATCCTGATCCCCCCTCCAACTTCTCTGAGAAATCGCTGAATTCGACGGTGACTGTCGCGCCCTCTGCTCGCTTGATCGTCGCGCCCTCTGCTCGCTTAAGCGTCGCGCGAGGATTATTCCACCCGATTTTTCTGGAATCCGAAATCCAAGTTTTGTGGCCATTCCAACAGTTTCAATGATCTTGAGATATTGTTATCTCGTTCCATATCGATCTATCTCTCGTTCCATCCTTTTATTTCACCAACTTCTATCTCTATCTTCGTAAGAAATGTTCTCCTTAGTGGTTGAGAGGCCAATGAAGTGAATGAAATCGAAATTGCCAAGAGAAGAGAAGTTAACGATTCTTGAGCACATTTATCTCTCTGGACGCTATTGTTAGATACAGTCACTCGCAAAAATTCGTGTGTACTTTTATGAAATATATCCGATTTTGGTGAAAATTTTTGGAGCAAAATTATTTTTAGATGGAAAAATTTGTTGTTATCTAATTTGAAACAGTAGAAATATCTTTTATAAGAAGATAATTACAATAGGTTATTAAAACTTGAATATTTTATAATTTAATAATAAAACTTTAGAATTTTATTCTCTCGAAATGAATAAGAAAATTAATGAAATATTTTTGAATTAATATTTTCTTATCTTTTTTTATACAATATATTATTATTATTATTATATATAAATATCTGGAGAAATAAGTTAAATTTATAATTTTTCTTCTATTTAATTTTCCTTTTTAACGAGGAGATTATTAATATTTTAATTTTATATCAATAGTACAAATAAGTAATACTAATGCTACTTTGTTAATTTAATTTCATAACAACATGCATTTATTTTATCATCTTTTAATTTTAATTAAAATTATAGATATATAATTAAATTGGCAAAGAAGTTTACTAATATTTATCATTTACTTTTTATTACATATTTTTAGAAATTTTTTCATTGATTTATCTGATTACAATTATGTTTAAGTTTAAAATTGTAAAATTTAAAAAAATCCATCTATTAGTTTATAAATTATTGTACAAAAGAGATTATTAATTATTTTTCAATTCGTAAATATAAACGTTTTTCTTATTTTGTACAAGTCTTTCAATCTAAATAATTATAACCCAATTATAACTAATATTCTTAGACATTATTAAATACATATTCTATAATAATTAAATATGATTTTATATTAATAATAATATTGCACGTTAATCATTCATTAAATATATTATATATTCATATAACATAATTAGAGGAAAGATCGAACAATCATAATTCAGAGTTTATCCATCAGATGTTAGCACATACTTACGAATTTTTTTGTTATTACAAAATTGATAAAAATGATCTAATATGAATTGGATTTTTTACAAAAAATAATTCCACGCGAAACATCTTTTGTTAATAATGCGAAAAATGCGAAAAATTGCCAGTGAAAAATATCGTACAACTTTTTTTTTGTTTCGTTTGCATCATTTCCACCATTGAAATAATGCGTCGTAATTAAAATATCTAACGAATAAATTCTTCATATTGCAAATGTACGAGTATCTTAACCTAATGCATTGGAATATTAATAATATAATAAATATAATATCAGATTGTATGTAAATTATTAGAATTATTGTTTTTATCTGTTAATAGTGTTCGTTTCATATATACATTGGATTTGGATAAAAAAAAGAGTTTGTTAAATATGGAAATATAGATATTAATAAATTTTTATAATCAAAAAACTTTATATATCTTCCCCCTCCCCTCCCTAATTACATTATTTATAAACGCTAATATAAAAAAAAAAAATCTTGAAAAAATTACACCCCGTGAAATCCAAGAAAATTTCATTCTTTAGAAAATGAAATCTTCCTTTGTGGTCGTAACCACTGTTCTTTCATTTCGTTAAGTACAGAGCTGTAGAAATTCAAGCCCATAGAGGACAATACCAATCTTCTAAAACAACCAGACAGAAAGAAACGAAAGAAAAATTATAACACGTATTTTTTTTTTTTTTTTTTTTTTATATATGAACCCGATGAAATAATTGACGTCAAACGTGTACAATATCAAAGATCGAAATTATTTTCATCGTGATTAAGTTGAAATTACCAAGATGGCCGAGTTCGAAAGTTTCACATCCTTTGCCTCGTTCCATAATAGCCATCCTCTCCTCTACATTTCTCGAGGGAACGAGTTTATATGTAACAAGAATTACCTTACTCTAATCAGACTCGTTTCTCGACGATGAAAAAAAATTTTTTTCTTTTTTTTTTTTCTTTTTTCTTTTTCAAGTCAAGGAAAATCGTTCCCAATGGAACCGATCAAATGAGATTTGAGCTTCATCCATACAACTCTCCTCGATATAATTCGAATCTGAGAAAGTATGGATGTACCGAGAAAGTCAGTTTCTCGTACGAAACGACCAGCAATTTATCGATTAGCAATTTATAAAAAAAAAGGCGGGGACGTTATATCAAAGTTATTTAGTTTTTCGACTATTTTTAACACTATGACGATTGCACCATTTTAAACATAATTTTCAATTACGCGAAAAAAGAATTCTATATATATTTTTAGAGTATCTAAAATTTTTTCGAGAGTTTGAATCGTTTTGATGATGATTTTCATTTGGAATGAGATATCGTTAATAAAAAATAACCATCTCAAATTCATGCCAAATTCATAATTGAGCTCTTGACGCTACGACGAGTGAATAATTAAAAAAAGTAATAAAATATTAATAGTAATATAAAATAATCAAGTATATAAAGTAAAAAATATAAGTAATAAATAATTGAAGAAATATTATTGGTTATAATAGTTAATGATATGAGCGTGGCGCTGGTATCGCATAACCAATCGTTAATCAGGTAGGAGAAAGATGTCAAGATCGAACATGACGAAAATCGAGGCCGATAAACTTAAGTGCAATCAATATTTCTACCGAAATAACGATAAAAGGGTTCGTTCATGATTAGAGTAAGCAAGAGGCATGGAACAATGCGTTCGTTCATGCGAACTCTTCGAAGCTTTTATGCAATTTCATCGATGTTGTGTATTTGAGACAAGGAAACCATTAAATATCGAATTTAATTTAATCTTCTTCTGGTTTATCGTAGAACCTATTTTCGAAACTTTCAAAAGTAAACAAGAGATTTTTAGAGACTAAAGATGAAGATTTAAGAGATTTGCTTTATTTCTCAAATATCACAATTCAAAGTATATTTGGACATAATATTTCGTATACTTTTGAATGTTACATCCATTCTTGCCAAATTTTGCATAAATACATAAACATCCGCAGGAAGGTGGTTCTTTGCTTTTATTTATCTTTCCAGAGATGCGTCAAAATTTTGCGATGTAAATAACGTAAACTTGAAACTCAGAATGTTTATCTTTTACGTTATATACCTTTATTGATTTCCGAATTACTTCTCATCTCAAATTCACAGATAAAATTCTTTTGAAATTTCTCGAAAAGAATAGAATCACGCGATGCTTTTTAATTAAAACTCTTAATTAAAATTTCCTTTTAAAAGAAGGAAGAAACATTTGCAGACTGTATATTCAATTCAATATTTTATTTGTCAATCTTTCGGTTTTTGAGGTTATATTTTACCTAATATTAATAATAATAATAATGATGATGATAAAAATGAATAACACAAATCTTCGGATTATTTTACATCAAATATGAAATAATGAAATTCAATAGAATTGAATTCAGATCAATCTCTCTGTAAATCCAAAAGCAATAATACCTCGTGCTAACATTTTATTTTAATTTTCATCTCATTTTCCATATCTTCTCAAATCTTTCTCCCTTTTACTCGAATCGACAATTTTAATACGAAAAATAAAGAAATATCATTTTAAAAATTAAATTCTCTTAAAATATTCGATCCTTTAATAATTCATCTCCGATTAAAATTTCTCGTATTCCCTGCGACAGAACGAAAATCCTGGCCAAAGAGAGAGACTCTCAAATCCGTCTCATTATCCCTTAACTATGTTTTCAATTATTTTCTTATTAGTTTCTCGAGTTAAACGAATTAAGATAAGTTTTTATCCGATTTTCTAGTATTTTGCTTAATCGTATTCTATTATTTATTCACGTTTATTCGGGAACGAGACAACACGATTTAAGTTTGTCAATTTCTCTTGGGAAATATTCATTGCATTCCTCGACGTTGTAAAAATGTAAAACTTGACGACATCTTGAAACTTACATAAATATTGCATTAAACTAGTTTTTTTTTTCTTTTTTCCTTAATAATTCTTTGTTAAAGAAGAGATTACTCTTATTTATCTCGACGTCAAAGATGTAGTAGCTGGATAATTTATTTTACTTGGTTACCAAGCATGAATATTCATGTCGTCGAGGAAAATGAGAAAAAAAGAAGGAGAGGAGATGGCGGGCGTGATGTTTTGCGAGGAAATTAATTTTGCAACTTTTACTCTCCACCCAACCGCGATAGATTTCCATTTTTTTTCTCATTCACGTTTTTTCCACAATCGTTCATTTAAAATTAATACGTACTTGCATCGATTAAGAGTTTGAAATAAGATTTTCAGTTATTATCTTGAATTTTCCAATAATTTTGTTATTTAATTTTCGAAATTAATATTACAATGGTGGTTTTATTAATTTTTTCATATGCAATGGAATATTTTCACAAATGTTTAAATCCTTTCTAAAAATTAAATATCCTTAATTCAAATGATATTTGTTATGTGTTAAATATAATAGTATATAATATCAAATGTATATATATATGTATGATAGTTACAACTTGAATATTTTATTGTGAAAAAAAGAAAATAAAATAAAATATATGTATATCCTTTCTATTAATAATTATTCTTAAATTATTTTGATATATGTCAAATATAACAGTGTTTGTATAATATCAAACATAATATATAGTACATATAATAGTTACAACTTAAATATTTTATTACAAAAAAAAATAGATAAATAAATTATGTATTTATTATGATGAACTATGTTTTAACACTGAACTTTCGAAATAATAATATTTAAAAGAATAATGGAAATAATAAAAAGATAATGTCAAACTAAGAATAATTTGAAGTTGTCTAATCAAAAACGATTTTTCCACGTTTCAGTATTCATTCTCTGTTGGAGCCCTTATATAGTGTTCGATCTCCTTCAAGTTTTCGGATATCTGCCAAAGACCCAAACTGTCGTCGCCGTTGCCACTTTCATTCAAAGTTTAACGACTTTGAATTCAGCTGCTAATCCAATAATATATTGCCTCTTCAGCACGTCATTTTGTAAAACTGTAAGGTAAGATATGAAAGTAAAGCTTGGTGGTTTAAGTAAAGTATCTCTTCGAGATTTGAATATATTAAAGAATTTGAGCTAAGAATAGGTCAATCGATTCTTTCGAAAATCAAAAAATTTTATATTCTTGAAACACTTTTGCTGATTTTTCTGATTTGAAACTTTTGAAAATTAATCAAACAATAATTTGTATAAATAATTTACGAGAATTTATATGACGATGTGAATTTAAACTATTTCTATTTAAACTTAAAATTTTTTTTATAATTGATGCGATTTTAAAAAATAAAGCGTAATATCGGTTATTCGAACCAATTAAGATCGAAATACATGTATATTTGTGTGTATTTATCCAGTTTATAAATATGGGAAATTAATTAATTACTTACTTCAATACAAAAATAATTATTGCTATAATTTAAAATATAGTATACATTATGCAAAATATTAATTTACTTTTGAAAAAAAATACTTTCAAGTTTCACAATATACATTAAAAAAATAAAAAAAAACAAATATATATAATATATAGGTTATGTTAAAAGAATATTTATTGTATATATTATATGATATGATAAATTTGTTATATTATTATTATAATGCTAGTGCAACATTGTTTTGAATAATCGAGATTTGGATAATTGATGCTCTATTTTTTTGTAAATCAAAGAATAATTAGTTTCATTATTGGTTAACTATAAATTTGGATTTAAAGAATTCTAATAATGTTAAGATTTTGAATTGAAAAAAACGAATATTCTTTAAAAAAAGAAAAAAAAAGAAAATCTGGGTTCAAGACTTTTAAGATCTCACAAATCTCTCAATTCATTTTTAATTTGAATCAAGCATTCCATTCTAAAAAGATTAATTCAATTGTAAAAGAACAAAAAAATTCACAATATTATTTTATATAATTAATGTAAAAAAAAATACAAACCTGTTTAAACCAAACAGAATGATTCTAATTCAACAGAAATACACAAGTGATATCATGGGTTTCTGGATGGTGTGCGACGAATCCACATCATTGTTTCGGCACTGGTGCTCCAAACAGTAGCACAAGGACGACAGTGACGACATCTTTAACGGCTCAATCTTCGAGAAGAAGCGGTCACATCGCTATGTTACATTCTACATCTAGGAAACGAGTTATGGTGTCACTGGTGTAAGAAATGGACGATGAAAAAAGAAACTTTTCTTAAGTGAGATACACTTTAGATCTGCATAGAATTCTTTCATCGAAAAAATAGCTCCTTTTGAGCTTCGACGAAGAGACCACGAGTATATCATCAAAATTGTCAATGCTCCGTCTATCTTTCTCGTAGACGTGGATTTCTGAAATTTTCTTTTCGATCGTTTATCCATTCTTTTTTCTGTCTCAGGTATACGAAAAATTACGAAAAGAGATTGGAACTCTCTGTTACAGTACAAACTATATCTTTATATCAGTGCTGTTTAGCCTGCCATTTTGCAAATAAAGAAGCTTGCGGTTAACCAAAAGAGATGCCGAGGATAAAACTTATAAAACTAGCCGAGTGAACGTTTAAAAGTTAGGCTCTGGCCCTACTACATTGCTTTTTATCTAAAGCTTCTCGATATTGCCCGAAGTTAGCCGAACATTGCTTTCGACTATCCGAATGTTGACCGAAGTTTCACGATATTGCCCGAATGTTATTCGCGACTTATCGCTCTGTACGTACAAGCAACTACAACGTTCTGAATAACATCGACGTACATGATTAATATTAAAGTCATAATGCAGGAGAAAAATATGAATAAAATAAGTTTTTTATGCTCACATGATCAGTATTTCAAACGAATTTGATCGTGGTGTATGTTTTTTTCATCCTCTAATTAATCCTTTCAGAATCAATTTTTTTTTATCAATTACCTAATAATAGAATTGCTGTTTTTGTAAAAATAAAATGTATTAAAGTTTGAGACGTATTTCACCGAAAGGATATATATTCATTTAATAATTAATTGAAATATTTCATTGATTATATGCGATATCGTGAAAGGATTAAAACCAAAGATTGTTATATAAAATTTTAAAATTGAAATAGCAAATATAAATAGTCTATTAACAGTAGCATACGAAAAAGTGAAGATAGAAGACTTATAAAACCAAATAGAATTATCGATTTATTGAATAAATTTTACTTTGATGAAGCTGTTTCAAACATTTACAAACTTTCAGGAGGATGGAAGGAACATTAGCCTGGTGAATCGATCAATTTATGTGGAAAATGATACGCTCAAAATATACATATATGTACATATATACATAGCGAACATCAGCTTCATGTGTACATCATATACACATATGTGTCTATATACTGTACGTATGTTACACACATAAGCATACATATATATATATATATACGCAAATACAGGGTGGTTCAATAACTTCCATTATCTTGAATATCTCTTATATTTCTTTATAAAAGTTGTATTGTATAGCATGAGCCCATAATATGTATATAATAATTTTTTCATATGTAAAAGAATAACCTGGATACATCTAAAATATGATAAAATACAATAATGTAATTATAATAAAATAAATAAATGTTAAATAAACAATTTATATCAATTTTTAAAAAATCCTTGTGTGAAACGAATTGTCTTTCATAAATTGGGAAACAATTTGGCCATTGTTCTATCTTTCTTAGTAAAAATTTTCTACATAGCATATTTCTTTTTTATTTTTCAACATTTATTGAATTATTTTATGTTGATCACTGATAATCATTTACCATTAATAAGTTAAATAGAGAGCATCTATCAAAAAATCTTAATTCGTAGAATTATTTTTTTTTAATGAAAATATCAATTCAAATCTTCAATTTCGAAATTTTAAATTTTATTATTTTATCTACAGACGATAAAAGTTAGATGGTCAAAGTTATCAGATCACCTTGTATAAGTAGACACATACGTGTAATCATAAATGTGTAATATATTCATGTATTCCATTCGCTCATGATAGTTGCGAAAACGCCCCTGCCCTCGGGAGTGTAATTTTGCGAGCAATCTATGAGAACGATAAATCAATATTTTTCTCGACTCGATCGATGCGCATCCCTGTGAAACGTCGCAGTATATTGTACAGTATATTCATCTTTGTATCTCTAAATGACAGTGAATATCTTTATAGTATATCTACGGACTCTATTAAATGAAATTGAAAGTTCAACGATAAAGCGGATTTTCCCGTACAAAGATTCGATCGTCGATGAAATTGAATAGAGAATTTAATCGACCATTTCAACTTTCGACTGCGTATAGCGTGTCCATATTAAATTGTACTCTATATAAGTTACGTTTAAAGAGTAGTAGATGAAATTGTTTTTTAAAACTTGTTTTATTCTTTATTTATTGTATACTTTATTAAAAAAAGCAATATGTTACCACATATTTATATTTTCATCACTAAGGAATTTGTACATATTATCGAATAAATTCGTCCATAATGTAAGAACGTAATATTAATATATTTTTTTAACTCCTTATTTTCAGATAATTTAATAATTTATTTATTTATTTTTACAATTCACATTGCAGAAATAAGTGCAAAATCAATTTATGACGTAGATAAAAAAATTTATCTTCAGTTTTTTATTTTCATATCTAATTTTTAACTTCAAGAAGCTGTATGGAATTGTAAGAATGTAATCTAATTCAAGCTCAAATTGTTTCTAATTCAATTTTTATCGATATATTTGTGATATCTTTCTGATATAAAAAATAAAACCAAAAAAGAATATAATTGTATTTATTTATTTACTTAATATATGAAAAAAAATTATTATCGTTTATTACAGTCATTATTATATCGAATCGATAATTGCAAAAAATCTCTGAATTTTTTAAATCAAATCCTTTCATTCATTAATTTTTCTGAGAAGCAATATCTCTTTTGATCAAAATCTCAAAGTTTTTCTCTTTCATTCGCAATATTTTTTTTTTTTTCTTCTAAAAATTAATATTTCTTTTAGATAATTACAAAAGTTTCTCTCTCCGATAATTTCAATCTCATTTCAAATAATCTTTCTCTTTCATTATATTTACTCTATAAATCAATACTTTCCATGATCGCAAAAAGTTTCAAATCAAATTAATCATCCAACATCTGTTTGCACTTGACCAAATAATAACTACAATCAATCTTAACACAAACAATATTATCTCTCATCTTTGATTGCTCTAAGTGTGCAATTACCTAAATGTTCAGGTATCTGGAGCAACTCGTGGCTGAGAGATATTACCTAGTTCATGATCGATACAATTAACTTCACTTCTAATTTGCCTGTTAATTTGTCTTCAAACACTCCTTCCACTCTCCTCCTCGGTTCTCCTTATTTCTCTCTTCCCCTTCCACACATTTTACGTAATTTCGCTCACGTCTCGAACTCGTAAATTCTTTACGAGGGTAGGCCCACGCACAAACGGACAAATCACGGAAGGAAGGCCGCCACTGTGCGAAATAAAATTTCTTCGCGTTTCTCCATTTCCTTTTACGGCCTATGCTGGTTATAAAATTCAACGGCGTGGTGGCGCCACGATAGAGAAGGAGGGGATGCCTCGAAACGATCCTTTTCATCGTCTCTTATTTACTCGCTCGAAACGATTTGTAACCACGATTCCGCGAACCATAATTAATTTTAATCCAAATGCTTCTCATTTTGAACGATATTTCGTACGGGTTGCGGTTGCAAACTTTTAAAAAAAAGGTCAGACAAGAGCAAAATATTTAGCAAGAAACGAATAACTTTGGAAGAAGGATAAAAATTTTCCGTCGAAATTCTTCTCGTAAAAAATGTTAAAAAAGGGATTCTTGAATTATATTTTTAAGAATTTTATTGGTCATCGATTTTAAGTTAATTTAACGTTATTTTACTTTGAAATCTTTTTATTATATATCTGTAATTCTTAAGTTGATTGTTATTTATTGTATTATGCTTCTATGAACAAAAAATAAATTTGTAGTTCGTATTTCTTACTTCAGATGTCTCTATTTTTGATTTCACGAATTTGAATATAAATGAATTTCATATCAAATGATTTTTTATAAGAATAATTATTAAGTTTAGCCGAGAATTAAAATTAAACAATTCAAGATTCATTGTTGGTTTAATTTAAAAATTTATCATGTTTGATGACTCAATAAAGTACAATTTATTTCCGAAATTGTGAAATCAAAAATAGATGGAAAAATAATTTATTCTTATTATTTATTTCACAATTATATTGTAATTTTTAGATAAACAAAAATATTGAGTATATATAATGATTTAAATTTTAGATTTATTGTCAAATAATTATATATAACTTTTTCAAATATACAATTCTTATATTTATTATCATATCATTATTAATATTAAATTTTTTTCTTTTTTTTAATTGTCACATTGTAAAATACGTATGCAAGCATGAATTACGTAATTCTTTTTCTACGCAAAATCATTTTAAGCGGATGAGAATTCGACTTTACTCGAGGACTATAAGAAATACAAAAAAAATTTTCAGATAAAAGTTGTTTCTTTTCATTTTCACTATCGTCTGGTAAAATTGTTTGTACAATTAAAAAAATTAATAATTTTGTTTTTCAATTCAACAAAGGATCTTTTCTTGTAAGAATAATCAAAATTCAACAAATATATCTTATCATAATTAAAATATTTAATCAATTGTTACCGATTATTCGTTTATTTTTTATATATTCATAAAAACCAATTGATAAAACAATTTATATTAATAATATATAACGCAAACATTCAATTTTATATATATTAATATATAAATATTCAACTCGTATAACTTCAAACTTTAAATTCACATCCAATATTATTATTATTTCATATTTTATTACATATTATAAATTATAAGTGGTTCCACGAATTTGTGAAATTGGACACTTCGTACGCAATTTAATTAAAATTTGAAGTACGTTAATAAATTGATATAGAAGATTAATTTTAAAT